CCTTTGCTTTTTCCACAAAAACGAATTCCAGCTTACCTTCCAGAGACCTGCCGCCGAGGCCTCATCTAGCTCCTTAAGAGAGTATAAACATTGAAAATTGAACATTACCATTTGGCAAATTCACAGTAGTATGTAAATCAGCACGACACTGGATCAATTTGAGGCGTGAAGTAGAAAGCATCATCTAGACCTAGACCACAACACAACTAACGACAAAATGAACAATATGAATTTTCCATCCTAACTTCAAATTTCGTCACTAAATTCACTGAGAACACCACAACTTACCAAAAATAAACAACATTTCCCAATTTTCCGTTCTAACTTCAAATGTCGTCATAATATTCATGTGGAGTGCGTTTTCGCACTTGTAGACATTTAAATAGTGTAGACTTGCTCAATTTTTTTTCACTATTCATTCCTTATGTTCTTATCCGTATTTGGTTTATTGCTGTTCTTTTCTTACCGTACGTTACATTCGATGTACATGTGAAACACTTGACGTTTGGGGAAAATTCGCACAGTTCTTTACCTTCTCTGCATCTAGCCATCTTATGTAGCAGTAGTTATAGGTACCAAAGTTTGTGTACGAAAATTATACGAATCCAAAAGATACCAACTGATGATGATGGCATGAATGTTGTTGCTTATGCGACTATGTTCATACGAATACATTCAATTTCATACGTGTAGGCATATATCTACATTCTTAGTTCCAACACCATATTCATTTATTTACAATACTCACATAAATATAGCATTTAACTACATATACTTCACAATACAAATATATAGGTAACATATACCTCATATATCTCTATTCTATTCACAATAGATTCTGTCATCTAAATATTACAGCTATAATATTATGCTATGAAAAACAATCAAACTACCTACATGATATATCTTAATTACTGTCAAATAATGCCCCATCCATAGGCACGCGCTCCTTACAAAATCAGTATGCATCCCGTTTTCGCAGTTTGGGCACTGGATCTAGAATCATTACGGTCTCGTAAACTGACTGCATCCGAAGGTAGACAGCGCACGTGTCGCTCTGGTTTGCACTACAATCTGGTATATTCATAATTTTCTTTCGCTCTGATTCTTCATATTTGCGCGTGCGAGCGCTAGAAGAATTTTCAAATATAAACCAATTGACATACAATAAGCAATTCATATTTTAGTAGTTTTCTGATGTCAAACCCTGCGGTCTACGCATTAGCGAAATAGACGAAAAACAGGACGGCGAGCAAGTTTCGTTGTATTTTCTTGCTCCTTTATAGGGACCTCGCCACCGCAATCATCTTCCGATTCTCTTCTATATGTTTCTCTCTGTTTGATTTCTTCCAAACCGTCGTCACTGGCATCGGCGTATGGAGCTAGGATGCTAAGATGGCTTGCGGCATACTTGCATAACATCTTACCATTGTACAATTACTTCCAATTACCGGTAATTTATCTTCTCAATTTCTTGAAGAGCATCTCTACCCATCTCCCGTTTGTCTGTGGATCAAAGAAAGGATCAGGGAAAGAGGCTGTGTTTCATTGGATAATCAAAACATGAATCGCTTTCATCAAATAGAAATTCGAATGCTTTCTACGCTGGTGCTGTTGAAAAGCGATTTCAGTGTCCAATCCTACACACATTTCCTAGTCTTTCCTACAGCGACAACTTTCTGTCTCCTCCTTTCCACCTTCAGGCTAACAATCTCTTGTTTAGTGTGTTTATGCAATTGGACCAATACTTGTAAAGTTCAGCCTTCATGTCAAAAAGACAGATGGGGCATTCGTTCAAAGCAGCGCTAAAAATGACCCATAAAATGTACCTACTCTTCAAGAATATTGTAGAGTGAACGTAAGTGTAACTTGATTCCAG